CAAAACCAGTTTAAGGTACAGATCATGGCCAGCTTTGAGTGGGAAAAATGAGACCAGCCGAGGAAGACAGCCTTCTTCCAGTGAATTTAGGTGACTGTCTAGAAGGAAGCTTCAGAGTTTCTGTTTTGTGTTTTCTTGACTCTAGCCAAGTCTCTCCCGGTTTCCTCCCTTTATTATAGAATAAGCATTAGGCTTTTAACGGAAAGGTCTGTGGTTCAAACCCACCAGCCAGTCTGCAGGAGAAAGATGAAGCAGTCTACCCCTATACAAATGTACAATCCCAGAAACCCATGGGTGGTCGCTGTGAGTTAGAATCACAGGATGGTGGTGGGTATGGATAATTGCTAGAAGGTTAGATTAAATGGCAGGTGGGTGGAAAGAGAACACTGGACCTCCAGGGTGTTTGTTTTAGCTGCACCGCCTTAACAATGTAAGAAAGAAAAGCCCGTGGTACTAGCTTCTCAGTAAGGAGCGCTGGTGACACTGGCGTAGATGTTGGACTGCTAACTGCAAAGCCATTGGTTCACATCCAGCCGCATGGGGGAAGAAAGATGTGCTGTCTACTTCTGCCAAGATTTACAGCCTGGGAAACTCTGCCCTGTAGGGTCCCTAGGCGTTGGAATTGAGTCAGTGGCAGTGGGTGGTCCACTTAGTAGCTTCTCCTTCCTCTGTTCTTGTTTCCTTTGAGGAGTCTGTGTTTCTTCTCACCGGAACTGCTCCATTAGCTTCCATGGGCTTGCCAGTGGAGAGTGATAGGGTAGGCAGAACTCCTTGCACAGTGAGTGCTCAAGATCTTCAAAGGTCCTGTTCACTGACTGAGTGATTCGGTGATTCAAAATCATATTCAGTTGTAAGTAACTCATCAGCAGTGAGTTTGATTTTGGCTTTTTAGTAGTGCAGTGGTTAAAGCACTCAGCTATTTCCCTAAACGCCTGATTCAAATCCATCAGCCACGTACTTCTGTAAAGATTTACAGCTTTGAAAACCCTATGGGCAGGTCCACACCAGCATAGGGGCCTGATGAGTTGGCATCAGTGTGATGACAGTGGGTTTGCATTTGATTAGAGAGTAAATACTGAGTACAAATAGCAGGTACCATCCTTTGGCTCAGGGAATATTTGCACAGGAGGATAATTTTCAAGGTGATACCTACATTTTTGAGGCTCAGCTCTCAGTTACATGTAACAAAAACCTGATCTGAATTCATGTAAATAAAAGGACTTTTATTACAGAATGTACTGTAGATTGTCTTCATTTATGAGGTATGAGAATCAAGATCAGGCAAAGTTGTTTGCTCTGAGATAGGCTGGTTATCTCTGCCCTGCCACACCCATTATTGCTGATAGCACTCTCTACTCCAGGCGTCCTCAAACTATGGCCCGTGGGCCACATGCGGCCCTCCGAGGATATTTATCCTATCCGGCCCACCGGGTGTTTTTGCCCCATTTGTTTTTTACTTCAAAATAAGATATGTGCAGTATGCATAGGAATTTGTTCGTAGTTTTTCTTTTTAAACTATAGTCTGGCCCTCCAACACCGGGTCTGAGGGACAGTGAACTGGTCCCCTGTTTAAAACGTTTGAGGACCCCTGCTGCTCCTCTGCAGGATTCCTTAGTTCTTTGGAGTGGCCACACAGAGCTCACGAAAGTTGGTTTATTATGAAAGTACCAGGTTACACCTGGGGATGAGAAGCAACGTAAGAGTAACAGGAACAACTTGGAATAAGTGTCCGGAAGCACACAGGAAAGGCCTGGTAGGCTCTTCTAAACTAGAGAGCACATTCCGCCATTCTTCAACCTGGACATGGCTCTCAGTTACATTCTGCTGTCAGGCTTCCTGCCAGCTCATAGCCAGTGAAGCAGCCTTCTTAGCTCTCTCTGCTCTTCCCTGCCGTCATACTTCTGCTGGCTGACCTCCCTGCCCTCAGCCAGCGTAGCGGCTTCAGGACCACGCTCCTTTCTCAGGACACTGCTTCTCTGTCAGCTCAGGGCATCTCCAGCATCTTAACTGTCAGCAATCTCCGCTAAAAAAGCAAAACCAAAACCAAACCCACTGTCATTGAGTCAATTCTGATTCATAGTGACCTAGTGGGTTTCTGAGGCTGTAAATCTTTACAGGAACAGAAAAACCTCATCTTTCTGCCCAGGAACAGAAAAACCTCATCTTTCTGCCAGGGATTCTAACTGCTGACCCTGCTGTTAGCAGCCTATTGTGTAATCCACTATGCCTCTAGCTGCAGTCTCTTTTTTTAAAACAAACCTTGCCAGAGTTATCTGTGTCCCAAAGGACATACTCTCTTCATGCCTTCTGCCAAGGAAGAGGCTTCTTAAACCTTCACATTTCAACCACTTAAAAAAATAAAATCACTGCCATAAAGTTGATGCTGACGCCTACCAACCTATAGGACAGGATAGAACTGCCCCTGTGAGTTTCTGAGACAGCAACTCCTTACAGGAGTAGAAAGCAGAGCGACTGGTGGTTTTGAACTGCTGATCTTGTGGTTAATGCATAACTACCACACCACCAGGGCTCCTTTCAACCACTTATATATCTTAATTCTCACCAGTTGCAAGGTGATCAGAATTTAACCAATCCTCAGAGATGTTTCTCCCTTGGGCATAGTTACCACCCTCCAGGCTAGAAAGCATTCTGGGAGGTCCCTCTATTGCTTTTCTAAAGAAGAGGCAAAGGAAACAACTCCTTAGGCTTCAGAAGAAAATCTCCCAAGTAATTTTTTCCAAAGAATCAAAAAAAGCTCATTACAGCACACAAGGAAATTAGGATGTTTCATTGATTCCCAGGATAGTAATGCAGCAGGGCCTTAGAAATCACTGCGCTCAGGACTTGGTCATCTCTCTCATCTTGGTCTAATGGATCTGTTTTTCTTTCTTCCTGTATAGTGGCTTTCATCATTTAATGATGAAATGACCACACACGTTCTGAGCCTCTCAGCATTAGTGCCCCCAAACCATGGAGCCTCTCTAGCTGTAACTCCTAAATTCCCAGGGAAGGGAACCCCCCCTTTTCCTTCTCTCCTTCACCACAGAAGGCTGAGTCACTGCAAGGGCAAAGTACCACCTCTGGGAATGAAGCGGCTTGATTGGGAGGCAACGGCGTATCCAGAAAGAAAGGGAACAAATGCTAGAGAAACTGCTTGCAGAGGTGACGTGGTGGGGCCCATTGTGTGGGGCTGAGGTCCCGTCCCCCCCCACCCCCCGGGAGCTAGACAGGCTCCTGGCAGGGGTGTGGTGGGTCCAGGGCGGGCCTGGACATGGCACAGTATCAGCTGGCTCCACAAGCAGCGGAAGCCTGACCAGCAGAAATGCTCGCTGCCCTACAAGGCCAAGCGCCAGTGAGGGGCGCTGGCCCTGACCCGCTGCCTGCCCTGGCTGCAAGCACGGAGGCCCTCCCCAGGCCCCTACCCACCCACCCCATCCTCCCAGTATTACTGCAGAGCTCCAGGCAGAGAGCCCACATGCTCAGGAAGCAGCATGTTGTGTCGTGGCTACCCACAACCTGTTGTGGGGTGGCAGGCCCTGCCCTCTAGCGACGGGCAGTAGAGGATATATTTTATCTATCCGAGAAGTCTATTTTGGGGACTTCAGCCCATCTCTCCATGGCTGCGTTGACATAGCTGGCTTCCAGCTCCGCCTTCGATGGTCCTGGTGGGTTGGTTGGTTGAGGTGATGGGGTGGGAGGGGGAGAGTGCTGCTCCATTGCCCAGTTTGCCTGACCTTGCCCTGAGGGTGCTAGCCACCTCTTTCACCCTGGGCAAGCATCCACTTGACAAGGTAGCTGAGCAGCCTCCCTGGGACACCCTCCCCCCCCATCCGAGAGAAGTGTTTCAGGCTAGTGGGTGTCCTGGCCTGTAATTCCCCAGTGGCTGTGAGGCCAAGCCCTCACCCTTCAGTGTTGTGGTCCTGGCTGCAGGCCTCCCTATCCCTGCAGCTTGGGAGCTCCGAGGCACCTATGCCCCGCCCCTTAGTATTACCTTGTCTCCCTCCTAGCAGAGAGGGCTGCTTACCAGGAGTTGGTCCCATAGCTCCCCTTCTTTTGCCCGCTGCCTCTGCCTTTGCAGGACACCCTGCCAGAAGGGGGCAGCAGGGCTGAGACAGCCACGTTGATCCCTTGCGCCGCAGGGGCCTGATGCCAAGGGGTACTGGGTCCAGCACTGCCTCTGGATAACAGACCCCACCTCATTGCCTCTCCCAGATGACTTCGAAGGTGACTCACCAGCCTCCTTATCTGTACATAGTGACTGGGGGAGGCGGGTATCCGTCCAGGAGGTGTGGTGACTGCCCACCCTGGGCTGTGTGCAGCCTGACCTCTTTGTAACTATCAGATCAGTGAATGAATAAAACCCTGAAGCAAAAAAAAGGAAAAGAAAACTCCTGCAGACTAGTTTCAGTAAACAGTCTGCTGAATGCTTCTGGAAAAAGGACTCCTAAGCGATGAGTCTCAGCATTGAAAAGAAAAACAATCTGACTGATTCTTTAGTCTAAAATGTTGAGGTCCTAGAGGAAAATTGTCTGAAATCCTTAAATTACAAAAGATAATGAGCTAATTGATTCCAGAGATGATGTGTATTAGGGTTCTTTTGGGGAAGGGATGTTTTGCTTTGGTCACTCTGGTCATCTCTTTTGGTGTAGAAAAGAGAAAACTATCAAACAGCAGTTAATTAACTTACATAATTTATTCTGAGAGGTTTTCATGTGCTATTCCCCGAGTTTATTATTGGTAAATTGATACTGGTTAGCTAAATAATGGAGTCATCAATGGGAATTTGAATACAGCTTTAACTCTCCAAAGTTGGGGAGTTCATTATTTCTCCATCAAGCATTACTGATGATGGTAGTGATTAGAATTTCTATAATTCTATGTGTCAGGGATTGTGCTAGGCTTTCTCATGCTCCCAAATCACAGGTGCTCATTATTTGCTGAACCAAATTAATTGAGATGTATGTCAGCAGAATTCCTAACATTTTCCCTTTTCCTTTCAGAGATGTGGTACTGGATCTTCCTTTGGGCCCTCTTCTCCTCGCTGTTTGTCCATGGTGCTGCCGGCGTGTTGATGTTTGTCATGCTGCAGAGGCACAGGCAGGGACGCGTGATCTCTGTTGTTGCCATCAGCATTGGATTTCTGGCTTCTGTAACTGGAGCAATGATTACTAGTAAGTTGACGTTGGCTTGTTTAAGGCTATCATTTTATATGTGCATGTGCTGGTCAATTCATTCTTGTTTTAAATGTAACAGTGTAATCTTCATTGTGGGCTATTTTCAGCATTATATACACCTTCCTTCAAAGATGAGGACAGTTATCTCTTGAACATAAATAGATATATGTAAGAACTTTTATTTGAACATACGATTTGTGTAATTCTATATAAAGACTGTAAGATTGTGTGGGATATAGAAAACATTACTAAAAAATAGCGAGGAACAAAGCGATTCGGTGGGAAAATAGTGTAATTTGTTTTAAAGGAGGTCACTATTTAGTAAAGAAGAAAGGTAGCTACAAAAATGACCGTAATAATTGTTATTTAAAAGTAAGTATAGAAGCTGTAGGCTTTTGACTCCTGTTAAGAGTTTCAGTCGTAGACAACCACTGGGGCAGTTCTGCTGTTCCAGTGTCCCTCTGAGTCAGAACCAACACCATGGCAGTGAGTTTGGGTTTTTGGTTTGATCTAACCTTTGATCGTTGATGTCATCTGTGATTGTAAAATGCAGTCACACATAATTAACTCTATAGAGACAAATTATAACGGCACGATCTCCCCTTGCTCATTTGAAATTAGCCATTAAGAGCATCCTCTAGTTATTTGCAAGAATTCTACTATACTACCTCGTGTGCATTTTCTTGTAAGCCCCTCAAGCCCATTCCTTTTGGCCTTCTCCTGTTCACACTATACTTAGGCTATATCTTTAACCTTCAGTTCAGAGAGTTACCTCTGCTTGTTTCTGCCTTTTGTTGAACCAGGTCTTAGATTTACCCTGTTAATTCTAGAAGGTGCCACAGCACCTGCATTCATATGGCTGTGTCCTGCACTGGCTGCTTCCTGGACGGCCGTTGATTTTGTCATTGCCAGTGAATGACAGAGGTGTTTCTTGCTGTTCACTCCTGGTCTACTTCTATATCCCTGGGTTAGCTCACTCCTCCCACTAGCTCTGCTTGGGACTGTACAGCAAGGACTTCTTCATTTCCAGTTGGCTCTGAGCTCCGGAGATGAATGGGCATCTTTTTCTTTTCCAGGCCACAGGCTTCCCTTCTTTTTCTTCACAGGGTCCCCTTTTCCTAAGGGGACGGATACCCCCTACCTTCAGAGGAAAACCTGCTCTCATCTCTCTGGGTTTGATCTTGTCTCAGAACACTGATTCAATTGTTGTGAAAGTTGTCTCTTTTCTTATCTTTTGCTATTTGTTTTTCTGTTGTGTCATGTTTGGGTTTGTTTGTTTTTCGGCGCCTCTCATGCTCTGGGTCAGGCCACTGGCATCAAGTCAATAAGAAGATTGTATATTTTGCTTATGTTAATTCCTCACACTGATGATTGTGTTATGACACTGTATGGTGACTTTTTAATTACATTGTCTAATTTTACTGATAGAGAGAAATACTGTGAGGTTTGGTAAGTTGAGCTGATGAGAGAGTAACCAAACAAGAAACTAGTTCTTTGGAAGGCTAATAAGATGGACAGACCTTTGGAAAACTAAGAAAAAAGAGGGTCACAGCACAGAAAAGGAACAAAATACAAAAATTAAGTATTGATCCAATAGAAGTTCAAAAATAAAAATAGAGATTTAGGAATAGCTTTATATATTCCCAAATATAAATATCAAAGTAGGATAATAAGTATTAAAAAATTCAAGCGGTACTCAAAAAGACCCTCATAAAAATCCTAGGAATGCAAAGGTAATTCATTTCAAAAGCACGTGTCTATATTCAATATAAACCCCCAAATGTGAATTTCATTTACTTTCCATAAGCTAAAAATTGTTCTTTTGATTTTCTTTCATCTTTTTACTGTTCTTAACCCAAGTGCTCTACCAACATTTGGCACATGGATTTGGCACATGGATCCTAGTGACTCCTGATCTGACAACACACACTGACCCAACCAACCAACCATTGATATGAATGCTGCCTTTATCACTTGGATATGCAAATCATCTCCCTTTCACGGATCACACTGCTCTGTGGGCACTTTGTTGTCGTACGTTGGACGCTTTTGTCCATGGCTGTCTTTTCTGCCATGCTTCCTGGCCCTTGTAGATTTGTATCTTCTCCTCAGTGCCACCCCAAGTCACCGATTGCTTTCATTCAGCCGCGAGCACTCAGTTTCACGCTGACATTCTTCCCTAGTGCTGAGTACTATAGGCGTCTTTCCTGATTTCTAGTTGATTCGGCCATTGCTTACAATGGCAGCTTCAAATATAATTTATTCCAAGGATCCCATCCCACTCCTCTCCGCTTCATAAATATTTTGCTCTCATATTTCACTACAAAAACAAAGATCATAATGTTTGTGCACTTTCATCTGATTCTTCTTCAGTTAAACGACTCCTTAGCCAAAGAGAAAAGAAAAACACAAACTGGCGGAAGTATTTATTAATATATGTAAGTGTGAAAAGATTAATATCTAAACTATATTTTAAAACCTTTGGATTACATAAAAGAAAGATGTAACATAATGGAAAAGCAGAGACGAGATTTGAAAAGCATTTCATGGAACTAGAAACTCAATTGGCTAATGATAGGTGAAGAAAAGCTCTATCACATTAATTTTCAGGAAACTGCAGGCTAATCACTGAAATACACACAGACAGACATGCGCGCACATGCACAAATAGGAAAGGGGACAGATGAACAAAACATTGTATGAGGATGTTGAGGAACAGGAGTGTAAATTAGCATAACTGCTTTGAAGAATAATTTGGTATTATGTAGTAAAAGTTCAAATTTCTCATATCACAGAACCCAGCACTTTCACTTGTTCTTGATGTGGACAAACTTTTGACTGCATACGTGTGCCAGGGGTTATGTAGCAGCACGATTTATGAGTACAAAGAATCTTACATAAGTAAGAGTTCATCTGCAGTAGCATGGTTAAATAATTATAGTATATTCAAACCGGGAAATTTTAGACAGCAGTGAAAATGAAGGAATTTCACCTACCATCTGTGAGCTGGTATCCCATGCTCTGACACATTTATGACAATAATAAAAGTCTGCTATCTAAGTACTGTGGGCATTAACAGTGGCCGTGGCCGTAACAAAAGCTAGGGTGGGAGGCCTAGAGTGATACTGGCTGTGATGGTTACGATGATGTTTCAACTTGACTAGGTCATCATCCTTTTCAAAACATTTCCTTTCTACTTGAGCCCTTGGTATCGGCTCCTCATTTTTTTCCCTCTGTGTACCCCCTTCCCACACTTGTGAACCCTTGATAAATTACAAATTATTATTATTTTCATAGCTTATGCAGTCCACTGTCTCCCATCACCCATGTTTCTGTTGTTCATCATCCTGGGTAGGTGAGGTTATACATCCATCATTGCGATTGGTTCCTCCTTTCTCCCGCCACTTTCTCCCTAACCTCATGGTATTACTACTTTCATTATTGATCCTGAGGTGTGTATCTGTCCTGGATACTGTGTGTTGAGAGCTCTTATCTACACCAGCGTACATGCTCCAGTCTTGCCAAATTTATAAGGTAGAACTGGGGTCATGATAGTAGTGAGGGGAGAAAGCATTAAAGAACTAGAAGAATGTTGTGTGTTTCATCAGTGCTATGTTGTACCCTGTCTGGCTCGTCCCTTTCTTGTGACCCTTCTGTGAGGGGATGTCCAGTAGTCTACAGATGGGATTTGGGTCTCCACTCCGCGCCCCCTACCCCCCTCGATTGCATCGATGTGATTTTTTGTTTGGGGTCTTCTGATGCCTGATACCTGATCATGTCATGGGGGTGATGGCTGTGGAGTTAGAATGCGTAAAGGAGGAACAGCGTAGAAAGCGCAGAATGCTGCTTAGCCTTCTCAAGCGGGACTGAGAAGCGGCACACCGTTTCTCTATTAAAATGGCTCCCAGCACACTGGTGAGACAAAATGGCCCCGAAAACTAGTCAGCTCTGTACGTTTCTGCATTCCTCTGCTTGCTCTAGCCCACAGCAAAAGCCTGCCTCTTCGTCATTAGCGCGATTTAATAATCTTATAAGGATAAGTTCTAAGAACAAGGAAATAAGCATGGTCACAATTGATTGGCTTATGCACCCTATATAAACTGTGTAAAGACAAAAATAAAATAGATCTGCGCCATCAGAGCCTGGTCTTTGGAGTCTGTGTGCATTGGTGACTCTGTCGCCCTCACTCCCCCGCGTGCTGGACCTGTTCCCACACCTCATGATCACACAGGCTCTCTTCCCACACCTCATGATCACACAGGCTGGAGTGCTTCTTCCATGTGGAAAGCTTTATTGCTTCCCAGCTAGATGGACCCTGGACACTGTATCTTTTAATAGACGGGCACCATCAGCTTTCTTCACCACATTTGCTTATGCACCCATTTTTTTCTTCAGCTACTGTCAGGAAGGTGAGCGTCCAAGAATAGCAGGTTATTAGAACCAAGTGTTCTTGCATTGAGGGAGTACTTGAGTAAAGGCTCAATGTCCTTCTACTGCCTTAATACTTAATATATAAATATGTGTACATAGATCCTTGTCTCTATCATTATTTATAAATATATTTACCCATGTATGTGCCTATATTTATACCTCTATAAATGTTCTTTGCCTCTTAGTTCTTTCCTCTATTTCCTTTTATTTTCCTCTTGTCCCACTATCATGTTCGACTTTCATTCGACTTTCAGTAATTCCCCTGGGCTTCATTGCACTTGATCAAGCCCTACCAGGCATTCTACGCCCTACTCACCATCGATTTTAGATTATTTGATGTTCCCTGGTTCCTGGGTTTGTTGGCTCTCCCTTCCTTTCCCCCGTCTCCCCCTCCCCCATGTCCCCACCAGAACCGTTGGTTCCATTATTTCCTCCTCAGGGTATCTTTATAAATGCTGAATACTTAATTGTGTTTCCAAAATCATTTACTAAGCACAAAAAGCTTTTCTTTTGAGTTCCGTAGACTAAGAGTTACAGTGAGACAGTTATTTTTGCTTAACTGGTTGTGGGTGGTCCCATGATGCAATGCAAACCTGCTTTATTTGGGGGGAAATTGTAACTTTCATATTGTTTCTGAATTGCAATTGGATTTTATTTCCTGCTTAATACTATGAAGCACCATTTTTGGCTGTGGAAACATGGTTTTTTGTTTAATTTGCTCGTTTCCAGCTCTCATCTTAGCCCACACTTGATCTTATCTCCCTTTTTACCCGAATCAGGGTATAAAGAGAAGTGGGTCATGTGGTCGGTCGGCTTCTTTGCCTTCCGCTATTCCCAGTAGCACTTTCCCACATGGACCCAGATTGTGCTCTCCCCCAGGACCCACTGCCATCGAGTTGGTTCCAGCTCTTCGTGCCCCTACAGGGCAGAGTAGAACAGCTCCTGTGGGTTTCTGAGGCTGTAAATCTTTACCAGGGTAGAAAGCCTCATCTTTCTCCCAAAGAGCATGGAGTGGATTTGAACTCCAAGATTAGCAGCCCAACATGTCACCTACTATATACCATCAGGGCTTCTCTGTTCTCACCAGAATTGCTGAATACTAAAACAGAACAAAACAAAAACCCTCACTACCATCAAGTCAGTTCTGATTCATAGTTATCCTATAGGACAGAGGAGATGCGTCTCTAGGGGTTTTGAGGCTGTAAATCTTTACAGGAACAGAAAGTCTTCGGCTTTCTCCTGAGGAGTGGCTGGTGGGTTTGAACTACTGACCTTGCAGTTAGTAGCCTAACTTGTAATCCATTACACCAGTGTTTTCCAAAATGGGCGACACTGCCCTCTATAGGCATTGGAATGATCTAGGGGAGCAGGGGGTGGGTGGGCTGTAAAGGCTGGATTTTGCCAGGAGGGCACAGGTAAGTTTTTCTGAAAAGCGGCAGTAGGCCCAATGAATTTGGGCATCTGTGTACTACATCACCAGGACTCCTTAACTACTAAATACGCGAGCTATTTAGGGAAAAGATAAGGACAACAGGAAAGTAAGCAGTGTTTTCCAGCACTCATTCTTCTCTCCCATGATGCTTCGCTCCCTTGTTCTCGTCTGTTTGCTTCCAACTTCCAACTGAAATCTAAATCTAGAGGAGTTGCCTCCAGCTGTGATTCCTGGTTTTCCTCTTTGAGCCAAAAGTCTTCAAGCCATTAACCTGCAATTTAAAAGGAACAAGACCTCTTTAAAAAACAATTATTGGGGGATCTTATAACATTTCCATACATCAGTTGTATCAAGCATATTTGTACATATGTTGCCATCATCATTTCAAAAACATTTTCTGAGTCCTTGGTGTCAGCTCCTCTTTTTACACCTCCCTCCCCCCTCCCAACCTTGTGAATCCTTGATCAATGATATATTGTTATTGTTATTTCATATCTTATACCTGTCCGTTGTCTCCCTTCACCCACATGTCTGTTATTCGTCCCCTTTGGGGGCTATATATCCACCCTTGTGATGGGTTCCCCCCTTCTCATTCTTCCCCCTTCTGGACCATACCCCTACCCTCATGATTTCGCTACTCCCAGTACTGTTCCTGAGGGGTTTTATCTGTCCTGAATTCCATGTGTCGAGCGCTCTTATCTGTACCAATGTGTGTTCTCCGGTCTAGCTGGATTTGTAAGGTAGAACTGGGTCATGGTAATGATGGGGAGGAAGCATTCAGGACCTAGAGGAAATGATGTGTGATTCATTGGTGCTATGCTACACCTCAGTTGAATCATCCCTTCTTTATAAGCCTCTGTGGGGGAATATCCAATTGTGTACAGATGGGCTTTGGGTCTCCACTCCAACCCCTTCATTTGCATCGATATAGTTGTTTGTTTTGGATCTTTTAATACCTGATACATTTTTCTGTGGACACCTCATGATCACACAGGCTGGTGTGCTTCTTCCATGTGGGCTTATTTGCTTCCCTGATAGATGGCTGCTTGTTTAACTTCAAGCATTTCAGACCCCAGACGCTATATCTTTTGATAGCCGGGCACTGTCCGCTCTTCACTACATTTGCTATAAATATTGTGTCTTTCAGTTACATAGTAAACATATATACAAGGTTTTTTTGCTACATTTATGTTACCTGGTGTATAGTATATTTGTACCCTGTTATTTACTGAACTTTGTCACTGTATACGAATGAAGTATTTTTGTCTGGAAAATAGGATTGAAAGATATAAATCCATGTCTGTTTGGCCTTTAGAATGAACGTTTCTTGGAATTGTAGTGGCTCCACGTTGCCTGCTCACTGCAAGGCCAACAGTTGGCAGCCCCAGCTGGCCGCCCCGCAGGAGAGCCAGGGCTGCCTTCTGTACAGTGTCCGTCTCGGACACTCACAGCACGGTTCTGCACTTCCTACAGGGCTGCTCTGAGGCAGCGTCCACCGTATGACAGCGCGGGCGTAGTTGATTGATCTGATGGCTAGTACACAAATACTACGATGATTATTGTGTGTGTATGCTTATGCATGGATATGCATGTGTTTATAGTTCTGGATACTAATTATTATTGTGTTGTCCATAGAGCATATTTCTTTTCTAGACTCACTTTTGTAGTCAATTCTGTGTAATTTTTGTGCATGTATGTATGGTCTTAATATTTGAATCCACGAGTCTAAAACCCATGTTCCATTTTCTCCAGTGCCTGAACACTCATTATTACTTGTTTTTCTTTCTTGGATCATAATTGAAAGCTTAGGGACAGAGATTCAGAGAGAAGAAGTCCAAACTGGGTTTTTTTCTTTTCAAATCTGTCTTTGTCATTTCCGACAGTAAAGATGGTAGAAGACCATTAAGGAAATTTAAGAACATCATCTAATTCTAAAATTGAGGGGGCTTGGGGGTGGGTGGGTTTGACCATTAGGCTAATGAACAAAATTCCTGATGAAGTAAACATTGATATCACCTGGGGTTTTGTTTATTGAGTAGCAGTTACTTTATTTCCCCTCCCCCTGCCCCCCAAACCTTAACATTTCTAACTTAATATAAACAGGACTGACAGAAAGACTTGAGGACGCATAGCCAGTATAGCCTAGACTCAACTCCCAGTTTTTGTACTGCTCACTTTTGGGGAGCCAGCAATTGAACCTCTCAGAATCTTTACTCTTTCATCTTCAAATTAGAAAATATTGTGCAGAGGGTCTTAGGATATTTGAGTAAAGTAATATTTGGAAAGCTCCTAGAAAGATACTTAGTATGTGGTAAGCACATTAGGTAGTTTAATTTCCTTTTATTATAGAATATGAAAAGCCTTGCCTTAGATAAGCCTTTCCCGAAGTGGGCAGTACAGACGTGGAGGGCACTGGAGTGATCCAGGGGGGGCTGCAAAAGCAGATACTTATACAATATCCTAGATTATAGGCCATAGTACAAATGTTTTTAATTGCCAGCAGGGGCGAGGGAGGGGGAGTTACTGAGTAATTTTTTTCTGAAAAGGGGGCGGTAGGCCAACTAATAAGCTCAGGAACTAATGACATCAATTCTTAGCTTTTCTCATCTATGAAGGTAAGTAAAGCTATTGCTACAAAATCATAAGAACGTCATTAAAACAAAAACATTAAGATGTGAAGCTACTGTTACTGGAAATATCCTCCACTAACATCAGGCCTATACCAAAGGTGCTGTTCACATCTCTAACCCTTCCCCGAAAAATCTGTGCTCTTTGATTGCTGTTACATCAGATTGGCGATTTGGCCCCCGGAGGGCTTCAGATTGTGCTCCTTTTCAGTAGAGTTTTAAAGTATTGCACAGGAACGAGGCTAAAGGGCAAAATCAGAGCTATCCGAGGAGGTACCCCCCCCCCAAACAAAAAAACCCAATGCTCATTTGTTTAGTGATGCCAGGGGAATAGTGCATTTGGAGTTTGTTCCACCAGGTCAGATAGTTAATCAAACTTTCTATTTTGAGGTTCTGAAAAGATGTGTAACTGTGTGTGACAAAAAAGGCCTGGTTTGTGGCAGGTGGGGTACTGGTTTTGCCACCACGACAGTGCACCTGCTCAGGCAGCCCTCTCAGTGTGCCAATTTTTGGCAAAAACCAGCGTGTCTCTCCTGCCCCACGCACTTTCCTTACCTCGCCGCACTTTGTGTGGTTTCTTGTTGTTTCTGTGAATGAAGAGGGACTTGGAAGGACAGTGATTTGATGACTATGAAGAAAACGATGAGGGAGGTGCTCTCAGCCATCTAAACAGATGAGTTTGAAAATGTTTCCAAGAATGGAATCACAGATTTGACAAATATATTAAGTGTCATGGAGAGTACTTTGAAGGTGATAAGGTTATTTAAAAAGTTAAATTCATAACTTTGAAAACAAATCCATTTTGGGGGGCTGGGTGCTCCCTCATGTGTTGGATAGGATAAGGTTTCACAGTGAAATCCTCATAGCATACCCCTCGTTACCCTCCAAGAATGAGTAGATGCTGGTGTGTGTGTGTGTGTGTGCGCGCGCGCGCCTGCAGACAAAGTCCTTGGTGTACTGCCCTTTTTCTTATCATTGCCCATCTACTCTGCACCCCCTCAAGTTGCCATGCATCAGCATCAACTCCGTGGCGGCCGGTGTAATTATTCTATAGATCTATGTTGAAATTGAGTAGATTATCCTGTTTCTCACCTAAACAGTTCAAAAGTGATTTGGTAAAGAATACCAATCATATGACAATGTTTCGTAATTTATAAAATGAGAGCCAGTGCTGATTTTTTTGTTTTTTGATAAAATGACAAGAGATTTTGTTACCCTAGTTAGGTGTGTTTCCAATGATCTAATATGGTTTTGTCTCGCCCCCATTTCTAATGCAGGTGCAGCAGTGGCAGGCATTTACAGAGTAGCAGGGAAGAACATGGCCCCGTTGGAAGCGTTGGTGTGGGGTGTTGGACAGACTGTACTGACTATAATAATCTCCTTTTCGAGGATCCTCGCCACACTTTGAGGCTTCTGTGGGAATGTCTTCACACAAGGAAACCGATGTACAGATTTCCTGAAAATGGCTTTGTTAGCAAGTGGAAATGGAATTGTGCAAGAACGTGGAATGAGCAGGTTAAACTCTGGCCTGGAGCTGTGTGAGAAGATCGCCCTCTGGTGTTCAAGTGATTGCACTACTGCACTGCACCTCACGTGCCTCCGTCCCAGGCAAGGTGCATTCCATACACTCTGTGAAGCTAGCTAGCTACAAGAAAAAGCACCTTGTTTAGCTGCCAATCAGGTTAACATTGGTGTTGAAATCATTGTTCTTAACAGTATTGTGTTAAATTACAAGGACATTTTGAGGAATTGATATATGTGCCAAACCTTTTCTTTTAACATGGATCATGTGACAGTCTGCAAGTGTAGCTGTAGATGAGTGCTGTGAACCCGTTTGACGTGAATTCAGGTGATGTAGTTAGTTTTGTTTTGTATAGCGAAAACTCCGTATGAGTGCTGAATACCAATCATTTCATATGAGATACTTTGTTTGGTTTTTAATGTTGAGTGTTTCTGGGATTTAGGGCCTTAATATGTTTAGGCATTGTTATTTAACTGAAGTGGGAAAAAATAATTAGTGGAAAACTAGCTAAATCATTTTAAGGACTTAAAAAATAAATCTATAGGGTGTATACTTTTCACCAACTTAAACAGCCTTAGGGTGGTTTCCCTCATGCATCAATCTATTTATATGAATTCAGAACGTTATGGGTCACACATACTGATTGTAGTTTGTGCGTCATAAAAATATCATTTGAAACATTTTCGTACAATTTTGTAAGAAAAGAAGTCTGAAACGCAGGTTTGCATTCTTCCTCCCTTCTGAAGAAAGGGTTTGTCTTGTGTCTCACGGACAAAACAACTTTATAATAAGTATCTCAGTGGGATGGTAACTTCGCTGTATTTATCTTGATTCTTGACAACATGTAAATAATCTTTGACTAACTATATTTAAAGAATGGCCTAAATTAGGCTGTGGGAGGAAAGGTCTCATTTGCAGAAAAAGTAACAAGCAACTTCTCTATAGTAAGAGGAATGAACTGTCTTAACTCTGGATATGCAGCAACTTACAGGTTTGCTAAATAAGCCCTGGGAGATAAAGTAAATCGTTATAAAATATGGAAATCTCAGCATAGCAATACAGGAGTGAGTGCTCTTTGATTGAGTCATTTTAGTGGTTTAGTTCTTGGCTTTTTCTTCTTGGTTACCGAAGCTTATTTGAATCTATATGATATTTACTAGTATTTGAATGGTCGTTGGTGGAAAACATTTTGAGAAATTTTAGAAATATGTAATCGATTATAAAAGTACATACAATTCGGAACAAAGAGCCTGCTTAAAATTGTCTCCCAATGAGATTGTTTTGGTACCAGGCACAGTGACAAACTGATAACTCACAGAAAGACTCATTGTGGACTGCAGGAAGGTTAAGGGTCATCTGGCAAATCCCTCACTAGAGCCTCACAGATGTGTCACCTGCTTTGGGGAAAAGTAGGTTTATCTTGGGCCAAATGTAAAGCGTGTTACCCATGCCACCTTCCCTCCATTTAAAAAGACAATACCAACCGCTTCACAGTGAGGAGTAGCTGGGGAGACTTACATCAGTAGAGAAGCTATTTTCAGACGTTTGTTAAAACATGGCTTGGAAATCTGTTAAACACAAACAAAAGCATCTATGCATTCTTGGAGATCTTGCAAGGAAATACCTAAGTTTTGATTTTGTTATCATGCATATGCCTGGAATTATTTTCATGTGTTCTTTTATGTCCTTGATGTTTCTCAATTAAATTTGGGCATACGTTTTCCAAATCAGTTTGATTTTTCTTTTTCTGTTAGAGTTGAATTGTGTACTTTCTTTTCTTAGCTATCCTGCAAAGAATTTAAAGTGCTCATATTCTATTCAATAGCATGTTGAAATTGTTTCAGACTTAGAAAGCATGAATACCTTAACCAATTTTTTTATGATTTAAGAATATTTTCATGGTAAGGGATATGGAGCACATGGTTCATATTCCAGAATTGACCATAAACTAACTAGGACATATTAAAACTAGGAATACACGGACCAAAGAAGTTTAAACTTCTGTTTTTACTGTGTGATGGAGGTGTAATTAGATGAATAGTTTATAGAATGTCCCACAATTATATTACTACCAAGTAATATAAGTTTAAATTATGAACTCTGTGTACTTTTGGGGGAGTTTTTCATTTCTTTGCCATTTTCACTTATTACCATTGTGATTTTTCTTGGCAGGTATTGCTCATTTCATGTTTTGGAATGCAATTGAATAGTGTAAATTTATGGAATTGTCTGGGTAGCTACTTATATGCTGAGATTTTTTAAAAGTTAAGTATTTTTCCTATAGAGACAAGAAACATTAATGATATATATGCAACATATATATCATTATATATACATATTTATAAAGCTGCTACATATGAATACAGTCTAATTGGGAAGCTTTTGTTCAACAAACACTTCATGTGCTGGCAGATAATTTGATATATATATGTTCAGTTGGGTGATAGGTCAAACGTGTGAAGATATTTAAGATTTTTGAATTAGGGGAAATATTTCTTGACTGAATAACCTTATTTGTGATGTGACATAAGCCTTAGATTTGGGTTGTTACAGTTTCTTAAGATATGTATGCTATATGCAGTAGGGAAGGGAGAGTCCCCTGAAGTTTTATACTCCTTTACCAACAAGATGTGTAGTAAGATGACATCTTACTAACAGTGAAATAAGTCAGCTCCCCAAGGAAGAGAAGCCTATATGTCCAAACTATTGATTATTTAATAGAGGGTTTAGAGATGGCCACAGATCAGTTAATGAAGGAACCTCGTGTCTCATTTAAGGCAGAAAGTGATATTTAAAACCCTCAGATGAGGGAGCTAGAAATAATCTGCCCATGGACGATCTTGTCTAGAATGAGGCAAGCCCTTAATGATGGCTGCTTCAGTGCATTCAGCTCAGTGTTTCTTCTTGTAGATCTTAATGTTTGCTACCCCCCCCCCAGAGAAAAGTAGGGCTTTCTACTCCTGTAGAGGGTTACATCTCTGACACCCGTAGGGGGAGTTCTGCCCTGTCCTGTAGATTCATGGTGGTTCTGCATCGACTCCATGGCAGTGAGTTGGGGTTTACAACATTATCGTTTATTACCCTGTGTACATTCTTTGTATTTGTAGCATACATTTCCATAGCCCCACCCCCTCCTGAAAAAGTGTGAAAGTTTTATTTGTGCTTTTAAAAATTAAGAAATGAGCTGGGCTTCATATGATGTATTTGTGTTATAAAGAACAAGAGTAGTTTAAAATCCAACAATGTCATTGGAAACAGTTATGGAGAACATCTCATTGAGTTGCAGAAAGTGAGGCTGCCACTTGAATGTGCCCACCTGATACTCCCGTCAACTCATTCAACTTTTAGAATGTCTTCTGTGGATGTACTCCAAAATGCTGAACTGAGAATTTCCCACAGGCAGTAGAAAGACAACCTTGAGTTCACCAAGAGCTAGTAAGGTGGTTTTAAATCCCAAGACAGCTGAGATGATATTTTGCTTCTTGATTTAGTTATGTATTTTAAGGCCCTTTTTACAACCTCAAATTCCAGTTTTCCCAGTTTGTCCACTTGGAATTTCAGTGACTAAAGTCTCATTGCTGTGACAGTGAGGACCAGAATGTGAGCCAGCAGCTACATCAGAATCTAGACTCTGTCACCTGGTGACTTCTTTGATCCTGAGCAAATCACTCAACCTTGCTGAGCTTCACTGCATGCTCTGTGAAATGCTATTATTACCTCACGTAGTTGTTGGGAGGATTACATGGGCTTGTTTCTGAAAGGCAAAACAGTATATACTTGACAGTTAGTTAAGGTGACCAGATTTTCACATTGGCAAAGTGGGACACCATTGCTAAAACTCATATCCTGGCAAAATAGCCACATGGCAGCCAAAAACCGCATACCCTAGCTTGTTGTGCATTCTTTCCAAAAATCGGGAGTTTTTAAAAACGCTGCGGGGTGCGCAAAAAATTGTTAAAAATCGGAGCTGTCTCGCCGAAAGCGGGACGTCTTGTCACCTTACAGTAAGTGATCAACAGTCATTACGATTCTTATTAAAAAATTACATCTTGCAATAGAATTAAGTATTGTAAAATTGAACTCTTTTCTTCCCTGTGCAAGTTCTCCTTGCGTATATTTTGGGAAGGAAACAAACAAACAAAATCTCCTGTAGCCTTACTTTCCTTCACCTCTTGTTCACTGCTTCATTTTGAAAACCAGCAGGTATTTCCTAGGGACACCTTTGGGAGTTGGTGGCTCTGTTAACGATAATAAGTAAACAGGAATAAATTACTGACTGTACTTATCTCTGATTAAAATAGGCAGGGCAAAGTTAACCAACCTTTACTCCATTCATTACCTTGTCTTAAGATGCCCTGGTGGCAACGCAGCTATACACGGGACTGCTAATCACAAGCTCAGCAGTTTGAATCCACCATCTACTCCCCGGGAGAAAGATGAGGTTTTTCTTCTCTCCTAAAGATTTATAGTCTCAGACACCCACAGGGGCGATTCTGCTCTGTCCTGTAGGGTCGCTATGCGTGGGAATTAACTCAATAGCTGTGAGAGAGGCCTTATCCTACTTACTTTCCAAGGAGCCTTGCTGCGCAGTGTTTAAGCGCTCCTCTGCTGTTCTACACGTTGGTGGCTGAAACCCCCCTGCAGCAGGCTGTGAGGAAAAACTTGGCTCTCTTCCTAAGAAGACCCCTTAGGGCAGTTCTGTTCTCCTACAGAGTTACTGTCAGTCAGAATTGACTCTGGCCCAGGTCTCTCCACATGCCTTGGATCTCTACATAAGCAACTTCCTGTGCTTGTTTAGGGAGGGGGAGAGTTAACCTAGCCCCTCTCCTCCACACCTTGTCTCTCTCCTGCTGTCTTGTGAATTCTGCGCCCCGCTTCAGCTCTGTTGGAGGACAGAACCAACCAAGCCCTCTTTGCCATAGACTAAAGGCAGTACGCCTTACAGTGGGGGCGGGGGTGGAGTTTTTGACTTAAAAGGAAATGCCGAGGTTTTTCATTTATGTTCAGTTTATGATTTAACCCTTTCATGGCACACACCTACATTCCCCTCCTCGGGAGTTTATCAGGTAGCTGCTTCCCCTCCCTGACAGTGCACGTAACCTTTATTCAGTAGGGGCCAGTATAACCGTTTGAGATGGAAGAAATAGGCATTTGCTACAGGTCACTCTTTTTATAGGGCATTTTAATGTATGAGGTAATGCATCTAGGAAGCATGGATTTGCAAAAATTTTGTCTCTTGACTTTCCTATTGGGAAATCAGTCATAAAAGTATGTTTTTTTGGGTCCTGTGTGAAGTTACCTTTCTTGAGATGATACCCTGTTTGCGGGAATATCACATTTGCAGGCCCTCTGAATTGTATGCACCTGTCAAGGGATCTAGACGGCACTGCAGAGTTCAGGGAGATATGTGTCGCAAGAAACAATTCAAAGCAGAAACAGCTTGGTTCTGAAAAGGTTAAGAAGTAACCAGATGGTGCTAAGAACATGTTCTGAAATATTCTCAAACTGCTTCACTCTTGCTGTGTTTCTCAGAAATTCCTAATCAGAATCTCTTCATATAGCTTTAAACTTGTTTTCAAGATGGAAGGGAATTGCAGAAATTCGAATGGGCCTGGATTGCAAAGAATTTTGAGATGATGTGCTGGGTGCCTGGGGAAGTCACGGTTCCCATAATAATCAGGATTCAGTCTCAGTGGTTACAGTGGACTGAAAAATCAAACTTAATCTCCTTTACCTTTCCTGTCCTGTTTTATAACTCCTTGGAGGGAGAGTCTTCGGGGTCAAAAGGGACAGTATTTAATTAGGCATGATGAGATTTTCTTCAGACACATGGTCTTACTGTTTGTTAGCGAGGGAGTCAAGGTGGTGGGTTTCCGTGTCTGAAATTGCATTCTGAAGTCAGCGTTTCTCACCTGGTGGCCAGTTGTGCTCTGTTCTTTGTACGTGATGCCTTGTTGTGGAGGAGCCTGCTGCATTAGTGACCTAAAAACAGATCTGTGTGAAATTTGTTTTGGGGAAGTAATGCGTAGTGCAGAAATTATTTTCCCGAGTTGTAGAGATGTGCCCATTAATGTTTTATTAAATTAGTGAAAACTGATTTCGGAGTGAACTGATCTGTGAACTGTAATATGAATTATAGTCTTCTTCCTCTGAAGTTAGGGGCACTCAGTTTCATATTCCATACATGCAAACTTACATACATAAATCAAACTTGCATAATAGTCCATCAAGACCTTGAGAACTAATTTAGTAATTTCTTGAAAATTCCCTATGCTACAAATTAAACGTATGTACAGCTTGTTAATAGAATCAGAAGTGCTGGTTTAGAAGAGACTATTCTAAATACCTTACGGTGTATGCAGCTATCACCGTATTGAAAATTTAATACTATAGGCAAGTCCAGAGAGCATGGACCTCTTTTTTTTTTTTTTTAGATTATATACTGCACCCATATATAGCTATCCTTACTAGTAACATGACTGTCTCCTTTGGGGGAATGTATTTAGAAATGTAAATGGAACGCAGTATGACATAATTGTATAGAAAGGAACTATAAGGCATATCAGAATCCTTTAGCTGTTAGGCTTTTTCTCCTAAATGTGCTATATTCAGGTAGTTGCCTGAAAGCATCACTTATTTTCTAGAGCCCCGATTGAGTGGATGTTAACTTGACGATGCTGATGATGATGGAATGTTTCCTTTGTCTTTAAACTGAAGTGCATGCGTATCA